TGGTGCAGTGGTGTAGTCTACATTTTTGTAATAGGCGGTAAACTTAGTTTTACATTGGACATTGGACACCACTGAAGCCACGGAGCACGAATGTCCAACGTCCAACGTAAAACTAACTTTACTGTGGTTGGTGCATATACTGTGCTTAGAAACCAAAGTACACTGGTTAGTACAATGTAATCGTCAATTTATGTTGATTTGTAAGCATATTGAACATTTCCAAACTTCTCTAATGCTTATATTTGAATAAATGCACAACAGACTTTATACAACAGTTACCTTTGTATTAAAAACATGTTATAGAATGTATAAAACAGCATCAAAGCAAAACATGTTCAAATATTAAGTAGTAAGTACAGAAGTATTCATTATACAATAATTTGCTGGATAAGCAAATATAATAAACAAGCGCTGCATAGAGATAGATTGTTACGGAAGTGTTTAACTGCTGTTTAAATGTATCAATGACACGTATCTAATGATATGTCATGTATCACTGGGCGCTTTTAAGTGGGTATACTGAAATTCTTAAGCTTTTCTAGTGGATATACTCCGTATACCCATGTATCGTGTAGACTACACCACTGATATACAGTATATGTATATGCATTCACATGTAACCTTACTCCATGCTGTTTTAAATTACTCCTCATTACTGATGCAGAGAAATGAAACCAAATTTTTAAGAAAATACTTCTACCTGGCCCTACTCTTCCACTTGTTCACTTCCACTTCACTTCAGACTCGGGTCCTCTACCAGAGGCCTGGCGGTTTGAAGGTTCTACGCAGTATCTTAGTTGTTCCTAGGACTGTGCTCTTCTGGACAGAGATCTCTGAGGTTGTTCCATGGGATCTGTTGGGGTCACTCTTCCAGTTTGGGGGTCACAGCACCAACTGCTCCAGTGAGCACTGGGACTACTGACGCTTTGACTCTCCACAACTTCTGTTTCCTCTCAGCTCTTGGTATTTCTTGAACTTCTCGTGCTCCTTCTTTCAACCACCACTATCTATCACCACTGCCTTCTTCTCTTGCTTGTCAACCACCACAATGTCTGGTTGATTAACCGTCACCTGTTTGTCAGTCTGGATCAGGAAATCTCAAAGTATTTTAGTCCTGTTGGCTTGATAGTTTATCATTTTAAGTTTTTTCTGCTTCAGTGATACCTGCCACCATGAAAAGTATGTGATTGTGTAGTTGTCTTCATAAGTGCAAGTGTGTGTGTGAGAGAGGCCCATAAATCATGAGAGTAATTACACACTGAGATTAATCCTGATGTCTTTACTCTATCAGCCCTGTCCCATTGCAGCGCATCACATTACATGCAGAGGCAGACTTGGAGAGAACAGATAATCATCTCTTACTTAAAAAAATGGGATATTAGGTGTCTGGGGGTGGGGGTGGGAGGCATTTACATCAAGAGGCTGCCTCATCATTTGCTCCAGGAAAGATTTGCTCCACTGAACTGTATCCTTACACAAAGCATTTGGGGCCAAAGCCTCATTTGTTTACGGCTAATAAAGCAATTAGGTTATTGATGAACCTTTACACCCAATTTTTATTCTCCAACCTCAGAGACATTGCTTTGTTTTGTATAAAGCTGAGTGTTGGAGCGAGGTGTTTGAAAGCTGTTGGTGTTATAGTGACGGTA